CCCCAGCTTCTCTCCCTGTCTGTGTGTCTCATGGAGAGCAAGCTGGGGTATGTGGAAAGACAAATTCCTAATACAAGAAATTGCATATGGCCAATAAAGTGATCTGAGCTTATCTTTGCTGTGCACACTGGCTCGTTCAAACACCAGAACTGTCCCTGATCTCTCTCGATGCGGCTTGTCGTTCTCCAAAACATACAGAAACGAGCTAGACGGCTGGCAGAATGGTGTGCAGAGGGCAGAAACTCCGGGATGTGCTATTAGACGATCAAGGAGAGTGCCAAGCGGTGTGTGTGTGTGTGTGTGCGCACGTATGGGGGGTGGGGCTATACTCTGGCACATGAATGGAAAACCTGAAGCCAAGGTCTCTTTCTTCAACAGGCTGGTCAGTTGTGACAGCCTGCAGGAGTCCTGACCTTTCCCCCTTCCCCTCCCCAGCCTGCTGGGGCAGAAACGCAACCCCTTGCGATGCCTTTCAGAGGGCAGGCTGCGGACATGGCGCTGTGCTTTCATTCCCCAGCACGCGGATGTCTCCTGGCAGCCGAGCGCAGCATTCACACGAGGACAGAGAGTGCATGGACGGGCCTTGCCAGTGTTTTCTCTGCTTCCCTATGCTTTATTACAGCTCCAAACCTCTGCATCTGCAAGGATTCAGGTTGGAAGAAATGCTTGAGCCTGCTCTCCACAGCACTTGCCTAGCTTTTTATAATACTGCTCCCAGGCTTTGGAATAGTCCATCTGTCCGGTCTGTGATCCATTGTGACCTGTAACCAAATACAGATTACACTGTTTGAAAACAGGGAGTCTGCATGAGGATTTTTTTAAAATACTTAAATAATAATAAAACAGCACCAGATCAAACGCTGCTGCTTGTTCACTTTGTAGAAATGCACCATCTTTCATTGCTGCTGCTGTTGTTTTCCTCCCCAACAGGAGGCTGCTCTAAGTGCTGGGCTTATAAGATTGCTTTGCTCGCCGATATTCATCAGAAACGTCAGTGACAGAGGGAAGGAAAGGGAGAGAAGGCAAGCATGCTTCAAGATGAGCCCACGTCTCTCTCTGTGCCAGTATGGCATCCAGGAGGGCGAGTCCTGACTGCAGGAAAGTACTGAGCCAGGGAGAAACGGAGACCCTCCCCTTGCAGGGCACAGGGAAAAAGTCAAGGAGGCACTTACTGGGGTCCTGCTGGCTCTGCTGTTGCCACGTCTGATACGTTGTCCCCCATCCTCCCGTCATGAATGTCTGTGGTCCGCTGGGGCGAGGAGAGGGGAGAGGATGGTGAAACACGGGGAGACAGTGCAATCAGGTATTTCACAGGACTCCCCGTCTATATGAACTAATCAATGGAGAAAGTTCAACGCCTGTACCACCCTTGCATTTCTGGAGTTTTGTGCGGCTTCACCACATTCGTAATAAACTGGAGCAACGTTTTACACTCCAAACCCGGAACTGGTAACGACCACAGAGGAGGAAAGCGTCTTACAGGAGAGCTACAACTAAGAGGAAGAACGGGAGGTGGCTCACTGATGTACACAGCGACTCAAAGAGGAATCCGGCCAAAGGCAACCCCCATCCAAGCCATGCTTTGAAGAATCCGGGTCACAGGCAAAGCTTCAACAAGTGTTTATGCGTTAAAGTGTGTTTAAGTGTTAAATCCAATAATGTTACAGAAAAAAAGAAATTTCGAATTGAGCACTAAATTGTGAACTCTGTGAAAGTACTGCAAGTCGCCATGTTGCAAACTGGCATTCGAGGTCCCGTGAATTGCGAGGTGAAGCAGCGTTTCCTTCTCACTAGGCCCCGTAATGACTGATGGAATGCGAAGCACGAGTGAACAAACACAGGTTGCGCAGCAGATATTCCACGAGGTGATCTGTATGCCGAGTTAAGATGTAGCATTTGCTGGCAAAACTCGACAGCAATATTTCCATGGGATTAAAAGAGGTAATTCACATGCCTGCTTCTTTACAACGTAATAGGATCAGTTCACCTCACTGGAAGTTTTGTTGCCTCGTTCTGAATTGCAGAACATGGTGCTGCGCATACCTAGAAACTTTATCTTGTGATGCAAACCGGAGGTTTTACACGTTACTGTGCACATTTTACTTTCATTGTGGGTTGAAGCACTCTCATCGGTGCCGATTCTTTCCAACCCAGGAATACAAGAGTGCTGCAGTTCCCCTGTAGGAGAGGAAACGTGGGCCGTACTTACTTTTGGTGGGGAGTAGCCGGCCCCTGAGTGAAGGGGTTCAAGCCAAAACTACTGTTTCCGCCCATCCCTGAGCCCTAGAGTCAAAAAGAAGATGAGGGTCAAGTGATAGAACAGGGCAGGTGCAGCAAAGGTCAAAGGGTGAGCATGCCTGTCCTTGGGACAGTCAGGCAGGCAACTCAGAAAACACTCAGATGAGGAACTGTAGCTTTTCCTGCCGAGTTTTGGGTTTAAGGAGTCCTACTGCTACACCTCAAAACGGATCAGAACCCGAAAACACTGGTGCTCCAGCCTTCAGCCTGATCGGGTGTACCGAAACTCAGCAAGAGAAGCCGCAGTTCCTCATCCTGAAAACAAAAGCAGGAGCCTATATCCGTAAGCAACCCAGCCCATTTACGGATTTCAACAACTGTATTCCAAAAGCTTATCACAGCAGGCACTTCAGAGGCATAATTTGATGCGAGATACCTGTAATTTTCTTGCCTGCCCAGGGAGTTTCAAAGAGAATCCTCCGAATACCTACACCAACAGCACCCCCAACGAAATACGGCCATCTCTGCCACCCGCGCGCTGGCCTCAGAGAGACGGGAAACGCTCAGCTTCTCTCACCCCAATTTTCTCATCTATGAGTTGCCTGGCCAGCTCCATCTGCTGCGGGGTGCCACGGATGGAGAAGATGCGGACATTGGGGTCGGTGTTGGGAGGGGGGTTCCTCTGGAGCTCCACGTGCGCCCCGGACTGCTGGTTGATGTTCTTGATCGTTTCTCCACCTGAGCGACGACAGGACAGAGAGGCTCAAAGGCTGTGAACACGGAGCGGACCGGGAACAGAACGGGAGACAGTCCAGGAAAACCGAAAACCCTGCTCGTGTCTGTGGACCGGCCATGAAAAAGAATATTTTAGCAGCAAGAAGGAATGTTCATTTCCCCCGTCGACACGGAAAATCTCTTGCACTTTTAATTCATTACGCCCTTGAATGTTTGAAAGCACCCTGGGACAGTTCATGATAGAGGAGAGAAAAGCTGTTAAACCATTAAGAACATTTCCAGCGTCGTTTTCACCACAATTTTTTAAAAAACGTTTTAAAAACTCAGGTTCGCGCTAATGGGCCCAACAGCCTTCCGAAAAAGCAAGAACTGGTCTGATTTGAAGTCGTTTCAAAACTTCTCAAAAGGCAACACAAACCTTTGCCGTTGTGAAACCTTCTATTGACCCCATTGAAGGCCTTAGGAAAAAAAAAAACCCTCACTGAATTAAAATTTAACAAGGAACCGGTCACCGAAGCTGCATTTTTTATATAGTTTAAAGGGCAACTCTTGGATTTCTTTGTCCATCAATCCAGCCAACTTTAGCCAATTGTCCTCGAAGCATTAAAGTAGGTCTTGATCAACGGCCAACAGCAACTTCAAACGGGGGTTTTTTTTTTTAAACCCGTGAAAATTGGGAGACAAAAATCCACTTCCCCTTACACGAGCGGAGGCATTTCAAGGACACTAGCAGTGCAAATAAAGACATTCGGCGGAACGTGTGGAAGGGAGCAATTAAACATCCAGGCAAAAGGAAAGCCAAAAAAACCCCGATTAAAGCGTATCCTTCCCGGGCATGTTCCCGGCTCTTGAGATTTTTATTCCCCGCTCCTCGGCCCTCTTGCTCCGTTTCATTCGAATAAGGACGCGGCCCGCCCTCCTCCCACTCCCAGTTCAAAAGGCAGAGCAGTGATGCGGGGAAGCCGGGGATGTCCGAACATCAATTACATGTTTGTTCACTTCTGGGTGACACTTCCACGACCCCCCGCGACCTTTCCCCTCCTCCTGCGGCCCCCTTCACTGGGCTCAACAGACTGCCCCCAGGCCATTAACCCATTGTCAACCAAATCGAACCTCTGCATTAATAAAGCTATAATGAGCTCGAGGTGAAAGAGAGAAAACAGACACTACTCAATTCACAGAGTTATCCATTGATGGGAAATTATATTAAAGCTCCGCTCAAGAAAACTTTTTACATCTCGGCCTAGGTCATTTTGGCCAGGGCTTTCTGCCTTTGGCTGCGTTCCGAAACGCGATGGTAAGATGCACTGGGACAGCGCGATGCGTCTGGAAGTGCCTCTTCAGCACTAAGGAGGTAGTGAAGTTTTTAGAAGGCCGGCAAACTGTCAACTAGAACGCTCTTAAACGAGTTCATTAACTGGACTTCAAACTGCATTAAGCGGACCTGGGGAAACCATATCCAGGAACGGGCGGCCAAAACATTTCCCCAAAGTGCCTGGCTGCTGCGCGATGTCATGTCCTGACGCTCACAAAAACGGCATCGGGTGAACACAATTCACCCAGAGAAACGGGATAAAGGCACCTGGTTTGAACGAGGACAACCCAAAACGCTGCTTTTATTTGATAGAACAAAGAAGTCAAAAATACCCAGCAGTGTTTCCCCTCAGAGGAAACCACAGTGAGAGAACTGCAGCCCCGAGCTGGGGTGAAGGGAAGCAACGACAGTGAGCCTGTTGCAGGCAAAAGGTTACTTTACAGGCTGTCAAGGTTCCCAGTGAAAGAAACCCCCCCCCCAAAAAAATCAAGGAGAGAATGAACAAAAACCAAACCCCAACGTTCTGACAACGGGTGGTGTGACGTCTGGGACTCTTTTCTGGAAATGGGAAAAACCGCTTTTGCTCGGCAGCCCGTCCTCTTCGTGGGGTTTTAAGACGGAAAGCATGGAAACAGCCCCCCCAGAAGAGTTGTTTCTCGAGGTCGGGGGGGGGGGGGCAGTAAAGTTGGAGGGTGAGCCCCAGGACTAATGCAGGGAGGCAGGAGGGACCAGCGGGTCTCCCATCAATCCCAGTCCTCCAGTGAGCCACCACGCACACACATGGGGAAGAAAGCCCAGTGACAGCAGGGTTAGCATCGTAAAGCAATTAATCAAACTCGCCAAAAAGCAGCGCTGACAGGCCCCAGACCCACTGACTTCTCCATCAATATTGCCCTGTTTCTTATGCTAATTCAGGGAAGAGGCCCCAAGCACCAGGGTCCGTTTGTTCCCCCCTCTCCGCACAGAAGGTACTTGACATTTCTATTGCTGTGGTTTTTATTATAGGTGAAACACCCCCTTCACCATACACACACCACCAGCCAATCTTCAAATGGTCAATGACTTTTAAATAGCAGGCAATAGAGTGAACATGAATAGCCAATAAGCTAATTCGACTCTGTCATTCTCTAACTCGACTCCATTGCCTTGAAAGCCACTCTCATTAAACGTAGGGAGCAATCTTCCCCGTGATTGAGGGCTGTTATTATGAACCTTTAACAATTAACGTCACATTACTTTACACACATTACCCCCTCATTAAGTGCTTTGGGAAGGGAAAGAATGGCACTTTCTTTTAAGAGCAATATATGCTCTTATATGTGAAGAAAAGGGAATTATGGTGACCACCCATGTGCTGGTGACTCATTATAAACTTTTTAAGAACAGCAGCAGGGATTAAAACACATACAGCCACTTAATTCTCTGAACTGAATCGGCCTAAGAGAAAAGTAACCGAGTAGATACAATGAACACAAAAAAAAAATCACTCGATACATTTAAAAACAAAAAGAACGCATAAATCACTGCCGTTTTCTCCAAACACATTCAAAATCATCCTCTTAGCACAGATACAGATGGAATTTCTAACTTGTTGAAAAGTTGACAGTGTGAGGGGGAAAGAGAGTTTGCTGGGTGTTTTTGAGGACTTTTTTAAGGACATCCACTCTCCGAATACCCAGAGCAAGAACAGAGCTTATGGATCAGAAGTCGTTTTTCTTTAGTCTACTAGTCTTTCAGGGTTTTATTACATGCAGGAGTTGTTGAAGGACAGAAGATGTTTTTACTTGTTTCACAAGTTGAACTTCCTCTCATTCCGTAACACGCACACAATTACATAAGTGTACGAGTACAGTACACACACACACTACAGATCATTGTTTGTTCTACACTAAACGTCAGTGTGCAAACCTAAAGAAAACCGTACTTCAGTGGTGAAGTGCCAACCTGTAAAACAGCAAACTTATACTAATGTTATCTGGTTTGTGAAGAGTAATTTGGTTTTCAGCTACAACAACAAGAACGGGGGGAAAAAAAACCCACACAAATCACTTTCAAAACTCCTGCCAACCCCAGCAGTGCCGATTCTCAGGCAGGTCTCCCGGGGTCCCGAAGCGCCCTCACCTTTCCCGATGACCAGCCCACACTTGTCTGCGGGTATCGTGTACGTCACTTCCTGTAGACCCCCTGGCGCCCCAAGGTTCCAATCGCCACGACCCCGGCCTCTTCCTCTGGGACCCCCCGGACCCCCAAATCCATCCCGCTCCTTCAAAAGCAAAAAACAAAAAAATTGCTGGGTCTGTGTACTCGTTTCACAGACTGTTTCTTTTTCTTAAATCAAGAATTTCGCAGTGAACTCTAAACATTCCCTAGACAGATTTTAAAAGAGAAGCCCTGGAATCTGGACATGAAGTTACAGTGGGTGGGTGGTCACCTGTCCAATTCGTTCAGATTTATTCTGACTCGTATGGTTGACATGCGCTGCCATACGAACAGATCAGATGACCGAAGAGAGGACGCCGGTTGCCGTTTGAACTGCTGGTACACCTGTGTAAGGAGGTCACTCCCACTGAACCACAGCGTCGAAGGAGACATTCCCATTAACTTATCTACCACACACCGGGCTCACTGAGAACTTGTGCTGGGTTCTGTACTGAGGAAAAAAACGATTCTGTCACTTGGGCACATGCAGTGTCCTGGAACTCACATGTTCCTTCATTACAAAGCCTGACATACCACATTATTTTACACCTCAGTGTCCTAGGCTTTTCAAGGATACATTTTAAAAATGCCATGTGGTTTTTCCATTAAAAAAAAATTCAAGTTCCCAGTCAGAATCTTTGCAAGGGGCGCTTTGGTAGGTCTCTAACTTAGTGCACAGCAATAGACACTGACCTGACCGACTGCAGAGCTAAGCAATTTGTTGAATTTCATGAGGAAAAAAAAAATACTACAGTTTACTGAGTAAGAAAGCTAAGAGTTGTGTGAATTAGGTTAAAACAGAACATTTTTTTTCATAAACTATAAAATTCTGAACAAAACATTCTGAAACAGGGAACACTCTGAAGCTATTGTAAAGACATCATGTTAATGCATATATAATTGATATTTACTGCTACAGTCAAGCTTGTGTTACAGGAAACCAATACTTCACTCATGCAGAAAAAAACATGTCCACAGCACTCCCTGATATTTATAAGATAACAGTGACAGCAGGCATGGCAGACGTTCATGTAACATTGATTAGCTGTTATTAAATTAACACAAATGTTTGTCTATAAAACTTAGGAAGTACAAGTTTATTCTGCAACTCAGTTGGTTATTTGCAAAGAGAAAGTGATATCTGCAAGCAAAATGTGACATGCTTCACTGTACAAACATTTTCAAAGCTGTAGGAATCTTGCTGTATCCCAAAGGCTTCATTCACATTCTACTGCAAATTGTTTGGACGTCCCTGGGCTTTGTAAATACGGTGTCATGCAATTATTGTTTAATTCTACATTTCAGAGTAAAAACTAGACTTCATGGGCTTGGTTCCACCTGGTGGAAGGCCAACTTTTCAAACTAGAGATGCAGAGCTGCAAACCTACAATTTCAAAACAGGACAAGAGGCTATATTTCTAAAGAACTGCAGATAAAAAAAAAAAATCTACTTTTTGCAGATAAATTAGGGTTAAAGAAATAGCCAGGACTAATATTAGAAGATGAAAATTTTAGATTGGGGTTTGCTGGCTGGTAATATTTGCTCTTTAATATTATAGCCCCGACCAAAACTTTAAATATTAAATATTTTTAATTTGGTGCACAAGCAGGGAACCATAGTAAAAAAATATTTTATCCCAAAGAGTAATTTTATTAGAAATTAAAGTAAGTAGAAAATGTACTGTTATACTAAAATCAAGGTTATAATGCACTTTTTTCTGTTTTATGTTACATAAACAGCTGATGGAGAATAATTTAGTTGTTTTACTTTGTCATAGCTGTTATAATCTACCACATCCCACTTTTTAAATTCCAAAACACCTTGCCTCGCACAGGAAATCAGAAAAGAGATGAATATTTGGTAGAGTTTTCATACTGCGAGTTGTTCAGCGTTATGACTATTTCACATTTGGATGCCTTCTATATATATTAATACAGAAGGCTTCCACGTAACGCACAAATTCTGAATTCAACACGAGCTCACAACGGAACAGTATTAAAGTTTTAAGCGGTTCTTAAAATCTGTGAAAAAATGGGAAAACGCTTAGCAAGCGATCCACAGAATAAGCTGGCATTCTGAAATGTGAGGAGACTGCACACAAGTGCTTTAGTCACTGAGATGTGCTCAGATATTATACAGTATTTCAATGAGCCAAGACTCTATGCAGTTCAGTTCTCATGTAGTCATACACTTCCCACATGGGGTTTCCCTTATAATTTTTCTGTGGGCCCAAAATGAGAAAACTTTGGCTGGGGGAGGGGGATATATCTTTGTTCTTGTACTGTCTTAAGTACAAAGGGAACATTTTAAATTGTTCACAAAACAATGACACTTGAACTCCCGAACCTCTTCTGTTCAGTCACAAATTTTAATTCCGCAAGGTGCCTACAGACTAAAAGAAAACGTACCAGTGAAATGCCCTTTTTTTTAACAGGGGGAACGCCAAATTTTAAAACTAAGATGGCGTTATAAAGACCTCTGATCATATTTCCAGTCCCACCTCTTGTTCTGCTCTATCTGATGGTGGTCCCAGATGTGTTGGTCACCACTTTGTCCAGCGGAGGCATTAGCAGACTGTGACTGGATTTCCTAAGCAGGCGTGTAAAACTCCAGTCAAAACTCAGTACTGACTGGGGACAAACTCTGTGTTGCACTGAATGGGTTTCTGTGGTGTGCTTATTCCAGTCAGCTTTCTGTGCTTTAAAACATCGCAAGGCTGTAATTATTAAATCTGCAGCTACACGGGAAAGCACATATCGCCAGCTTTGGACTTCTGAAGGATCACTGGAATGAAGGCATTATGAGACAACACGCACCGAACTAAAGAAGTTGAATGAAAAGACACTGCCGTTATGTTTTTTTACCTGTGCGGTGTGGACCAGCTCGTTTATAAGGTGGACAGCATGCTGACATCTCTCTGGCTGCCCCATCACCTGGGCGATTCTGTCTGGACTTATTCCATCATCTGTGCACAGAAGATCAGAGCGCTTAGCAAGGGCTTAGGTCCTTGAAGAACAATATATTTTTAATGAGATTTCGTGCAAGGCATTCTACAGCAGCCCCCGATGCTGTTGTTTAACGGTACCTCACAAAGACCGCAGGTTTTACCCCCATCACTCATGCATTTACAATGAGACCACAGAGGCCGATTATAAACCCTCACCCAACGTTGGCTACTGAGGTGCTCCTCTCTTCCATTTCAATACAGTCACATCAAAAGCAAGAGATATAAAGTCGCGAGCTTTATACCAGTATTAAAGAAAAGATCTAAAACCTGGCTTAAACTGGATCCGCACTCCTGCGTCATTCTGAATCTTCTTGATCATCTCCCCGTTTCTGCCGATAACAATGCCCACTGCAAACCGGGGAACCGCCACCTGTGGTTTTGGAACAGAACACTGGGTTAGAGTGGGATAGTTGTACTCATCTCCACACACCGGAGGGAGGGGGGGGATGGGGGGAGGAGATGGTTCTCTTACGTCCAAACTGCTGCCGCCCAGCCTAGACCCGAAGTCACTCCTGCCACTCCTGAAGTCGCCCTGGTCCTTGTCCCGGATGATCTCTGCCACCAGCTCCCTGGCTTGCTGCAGAGGACGCACAGGCATCAGCTTTTTTCGTCTTCAAATGTACCCTTCAGAGCTCAGCCCTCCAGACTGTTTCTGTTGCCGGCCCCTTGTCAGACTTCCGGCGAATTGAATTCAATTAGCAAAGCTACCGCATAAATGTTTCATGCGCTCAGCGGCCCACATGCAGAAGAGACAACGCACACAACACACAGGGCGTCTCGAGCCTCACAAAGCCTTCAGATTTGCCTCTTTCGTCATTTAATGTGCAACACAGATGGTGAAGAACAACAGAAACGTGGCAGAGATCATTATGGTGAAACCAACCAGAGTAATTACCGAGCTTATGAAGCCAGGGATAGGACTGGACAACTTTGAGCAGCAGACTATGTGCAAGCTTTCACAATGCTCAGGCCGCAAATTCTACAGTGGACGTCTGGCGTATTACATTGGAATAGCGGCAGACAACGGCATGGTACTTGTGTTCCATTTCATGAAAGTCCGTTTTCCAGCTATTAATTTCTTCAGCGGCCTTCGTGTTCACAGTAATTAAGCGGCACTGAAGCAAATAAGCTACTGTATTTCAAAGTCCTGCAATGGGAGTGCCAGGATTCCTCCTCAATGAGGAGAGCGCGCGCTCAGCCGCGTCGCCAGCGACAGAGGAAGTCTTCGCCAGCGGTTTAAGACTCCTGCAAACTCACCTGCACTTTGTACGGATCTCCAGTGATTCGCAGAGGCTTGTCGGCGCCTGTTGGCATGGGCCCATCTTGGATCATGATCATTTTCACACCCGTTCTTTCCTGGCAACACAAAGAAAAGTTTTTTTTTCCACCTGCCCAGAGACAGCACTTTAAACAAAACAGAGGACAAAAAATAGCTGCCTTATCCCAAGGACCGTCAAGGTCACAGATAAACAGTCCAATGGAGGAATTCTGGGATACAAGCTATAGTTTGTCCATGAATTTAAACACACCTACAGTATTTGGGTGGATGATTATATTTAAAAAGGAACATCGCTTTCAACAGCAAGCAACAGAAAGGTGCTGAATGCATCTGGTTTTAAATCTATGCACTCACTAAAGGAATCAAAATTACAACCAGTAGATTTCAACCCAAACACCGAGAAGTGCAACGCACATAAATAAAAAATCAGTTCAGGTGGTAGCTGAGTCAGCATGCGCAGACTGCAAAGGAACAAGTAATAGGTTTATTCAAGGCTGAAAAGAGAAGAAAGAAAACAACGTTTCGGCTGTGGAGCCTTCTTCAAAATAAGAGGAGGCCACCCAGCCTGTGACGTTCAATTGGAAGCAAGTAGTTAATGTATACAGGGATTTTGTCCAGCCTTTTTTTAAGAAACCAGGGTTTTCCCCTTCTTCCATATTGCATTATGAGTAATGGTGTCTCTCGCCGACTGGAAAGGCGCAGGTGTCCATGAGGTCTCAGGAGTCCCGCTGAGCGCACCCTGGCGCAGCAAACCTGCCACAACTCCCACAGTGCTCAGCTGGCTGCCTCACCACTTGTCACATTTATGAACTGAATATTTGAGGGGGGCAGTCGACTGGATAATAATTCACGGACAAAAAGTCCTTAAAAGTTTGAGAGCACATCTCCTGCTCACTGCTCCCACGACCCGTTCCCTCCGCCCAGCGTGTCCACACAACATCGCAGCGCCTCACGCCGTTATTCTGAATGAATAAACGAAGATGTCGCTCCACGACGGCATGTGTGCTTCAGAACTGGGACTGAAGACCTGATTTCCTGTTGTGTAGCAAGTCCTTTTAAGAACGTGCACGTGACAATTGGATGTTTCCCCCCCCCCAATTACAGAAATTTTCACAAGGATGGAAAGTTTATTCAGTGCTGACACATGCTTGAATTGTTTTAGCCCGTCATCATTCTGTGACTGTTGCCGAGTAGATGCAGGTTACATTAGCTAACAGTTTTTCAATCTAGAAATATTTCATTTTGCGATTCTCGTGTCATCAAGTGGATCCTTTGACCATCCCCTGCTAATTTCCATCACTCCATTTTCTAAAAGCTTTATCTAAAAAAGGGGGAGCTGGAGCCTATCCCAGCAAGCAGCAGGCAGTAGGCAGGATACACCCTGACGGGACACTGGTGCACTGCAGGGCAAACAGACAAACAGGCACTCACACCAGGGCCAATTTAGAAGGCAATTAACCTGTGTGTCTCTGGACCATGGGAGGAAACCAGAACACCCAGAGGAAACCCACAGGAACCCAGGGAGAACATACAAACTCCACAC